TCCCTTGTTTAATGCCCGCTGCTCCAACGTTATGTGACTTCGCAGGGAGCGCTTTCCGACTAGCTGACCTAGAGATCCTTGACCCACTTCTCCACACGCACACGTGCAAATAGTCGCGGTTGTCGATGCGTCATTCGCATACGTCCCTCCTCGGCTGACGCAGCATGGGCCACCGTACACGACACCCCTTCGGGCAATGCAACATACCAATCGCACACGACAGGAACTCGCTCTTCAGTCACAGCGGCTTCTACACCTGTTTCTCGCATACGATCTCTCAGGCGTGGCTGGACGCAGTCAACACTAGCCCTTGCTTCGCCCTGGACACGTGTGACGTTATATAACATGCATCGTTACTTTGTCTACAGTCAGGCGTTATATTTAGCAGCTGCTTTGTGATTGACTACGGGTATCCACCGTGGAGGTTAGTGGATTGTTTATTCTTCCGTAGTATGCACTTTTTTCTTATAATTGGGAATTGACATACGCGTCACGACGGGATAATGAGTCGAATGATACCCGAACGCACTCAGCCCACCAGCCTAGCGAAGTATGAAAGTGAATTTGAACGACAGCAGATTAAGAAGTCATGTAAATCAATTGGGTCCGTACGTTTTTCTTTTTAATCATCGAAAATGTCCATTAAAGAGGAATTGAATAGTGGGGGAGAATATAGCGAACAGATTTGGTCCCTGTGTTGTCGTCCGACGTCACAAACCTAACACTAGTTAATCACTATCCCGCTATGGCAAATTCAAATGGGTTGAACTTGCAACGGTGTTCATCTTTCGACAGCTCGTAATGTAGGTCAGCGCGAGATTAAGCTAACTGACATGCCAACTAAGCAATCAACGGATTGGAGAGTCAAGTATGCGCTAAAAACTTGTCCCCACCGATACACCGCACGTTTAATTTTTAATTTAAATCCTGGTAGAGGTTAGAGAAACAAATACATTGGAAGAGGTATAATCCAAGTAGCTGCAGAATACATGAGTGAGAAATTGTACTTGTACTTTGTACTTGATCCGATTAGCTCCTGTTGTTGGATGAATCGGCTTCACGGATG